GAGAGATATGTCCCTTGCAAATGATGTTCCATTTTGTGCCATAGATGTTCTATAAAATTAAAATTGGGGATCTGAATCGGCCATTCCATTTCCACAGCACTCATCTTTGAAATACTGAAACGATTCCAATATGCATTCCCATTACTACGGTTGCAGTATAATTGCTTGCACAAAGAGAGATGAAGCTAAATTAAAGATATTATTATAAACACTATTGACTTACATTCTAATTATTAATTTAGATTTTATTCTCTACAAGACTGTTAATTTTTTTATAAGTATGATTATTCGTCAAGATTATTAGCATGAATATATACATTAATAACATATTTAACACTTCCCTTGGCTTCTTAAGACAGACTGTAACCCAAGATAAAGCGTACTGTCAAGAGCGACCTATGACCATTTTTCTTGTTTTCGTGAGGGGAAAAAGGAGTATTATAAGATATTACTGAATAATTTGGTGATTCTTAGAACCTGGAACCCGGAACATGGGGATATGACAATGTTATTTGTTTGGATTTCATATTTCTGAGCATTTAAGGACAAAAGAGTTTTGTATTGCGGACAACGAAATAGTCTAGATTAATGTGATTGTAGAAAAGAATAATTTATAAAAAGTGTAGAGATTAGTGATATAGTAGTGCTTACTAGTAGTAACTTGAGAAAATTAATTTCTTTTTCTGATAATTATAAGTCCAAATAGGTCTATCGCTTCTTCCACTACGGAGACGTAACATTTATTTCGCAAATTAGCTAATTATTTTATAATAATTTCTTTTTGTAGCTTCTATTTTCCTATCTACTGTCACCAAAATGCAAGTTAAGTTAACTTAAATGCCGAGTGAAAACAATAGTTAGTAAAGAGTACTTTTGAAATGCTAAGTCAGATGCTTATCCTGTTTTGAGCAGCCGTGGCATGCCTGACAGACGCTGCTGAGTTACATTCTGTTAAAGATTAGTTAGCTAAAACAAACCAAATGGAGTCAAGACTTGTTAGACGAAGCGTAAATTATGTTACATTGGTACACTGTTGTTATACTAGAAAAACCACTAAAACCAATTTCTAGTCTAACTCAGGAAATCCTTTAAGGACCTGGCAGTAAGAATTTCATGAATTTGGAAACACTAAAACAAAAGAGATCTGGAATACGGAGAGTTAAAAAAGAATGCAGTTGCTTAAAGGAAGTACATGAAATAACTAAGATTCAGTACCTTATACAAATATGTAGACTTTAGCAGACAATATGTTAAAAGAGAAGTTCACAGGATCCACGAGCGTAGCGTACAGTCTGAGCTAGTAGTTGTTCTGTAGGACACTTCTAATCAAGATTCTGACAATAGGTGATATTATCACAAATTTTATTTGTCATTTTTTGGCTTTAAATACTTGTGTTGCTTAGAAACCCGCAAACAGCGGAAGATGGTTTTGTTGACATTAAATTTTAATTTGCACTAGACTACGTGTTTTAACAAATAAAGTTGTAAACGAGCTTATGTTTTTTTACGCGTAACACATAAACAGTGAAGATGAAATTCATTAGAACAAAATAAAACCTGAGCAAACTCAAGCTAGGTACTTAACCAAAACCTTATAAAGTAGCATACAAAGGACCACATGTGGCAAAAGCACTGTCAAGTTAAACACATTTACTGCTTCATTTGCTTAGCTAATATGTAGAGGCAGGAAAGCACTGAGATGCCAGTTTAAATTTATCTGGTCATCATTATAACTTGAACCATACCCGTTCAGTTAATCCGCTGGACCATATGCATGGCTATATCTGTGCATGACCATTAGGCGAATGACCATTACGCATGGGAAGGGGGAGCTTAATCGAATAGGGAGGGCTTTAGGTGAATGGTAATGAGCAAACTAAATACCTGTGCAGTTTCGGCGGTCGAATAAATTAGTGATTCAGGGACCCTTCATTGTTAAAGTCCATTGTCTCGAGTAATGGACGCCTTTCCAGTTTAGAGACTTCTAGGGATTATTGGAGTGCATTATCCGTAGCGCGTTATGTTTCGATGCGTTCACATTTCGAACTGTCATTTTGGTTTGGGGTTGGGTGTAAATACATCTTAAGCTAATTAAATACTTTATATCTTGAATGAGATTTCTGAGAATGAGTGTTATAAGTTACGTGTTCAGTTTCCTGGTTAGGCGCAAGTTATCTGAGTGAAATGGATTTTCAAGTGTAATAAAATGTCTTGTTTAAGGTCATCGAGATAGAACAAAACACTTAGTGAAATCACAATAGCCTGTATCAGTGCAAAACAGACAGTAGAAATTCTTTTTTCGCAACCTTATTTACAACTTGGTTTTTTTTTTTTTTTTTTTTTTAATTAGCTTTTTTTAATTCTATTACAATTTTCTAAAAGTAAACTTAGTTTAAGTTCCCGTTTCGTTTTGAGATACCACATTAATTTTAAATCATTACCCGCTGCGCAGGCAAACAAATTAAATTGAAAAAAAAAAGTAGACATAACTCAGTTCTTTAACTAAAATCAAAGACTTCTGCTAAAACATTTTACTTTGAGGTGTAATTTGGTGCTTGAGTTGAAAACTATTGAATATTTTCTTGAATTTTTATACTGTACGAGATTATTAATGTGTAGAGATTCATTTAATTTGACTAAAAGTTAATGTTTATTGAAAAAAGTCAAAAAACAACAGAGGAAGTTGTTTCTACAGCGGAAGATGGTTCTATAGTTAAACCATCGAAACTAGTCCTGCAAAATTTACAAATATTACGCTAATTTTTGTTGTTTGACTTCTCCAATAATCATTATACGAAGTGTTATTTTTAACTCAAGTTTTAGTGTTTGGTTAAAGCAACTTTCCTTTTACTTTCTTTATCACTCACGCTTTCCTGCCAGAATGTTAATCAGTTAGCGCGCAGTTATTCAGATTAGGGGGGGGAAGAAGTTCTAGTTAAACAAAGACTTCGAAAAGTGATTTTAGAGTGTGTTATGCCTGCTTCAAGGACATGTTGTTACTTTGGCTTACCAACGATTTGATTCTGTGGCAATGAGGGCTTCTAGCCATTAAGCTTGTTCCACCGGCTTCTATGAGGCAGAGCCTTCCTGCTCGATTAAATTATCCCTGTAAGCCATTAGGCTTACATTTTATTTCAAGTTCAACATTACTTGTTTAAGTTACGCCAGAAGTGTTGGCTTATGTAAACGCAAGTGGAGTCGTCTGTGAACTCTTTGTGATTGAATAAATGGTAATTTACACCCTTCTTCTGACTTTGTCAGTATCTTACGATCAGAGGAAAATTCCTGTACAGTCTTTCTAGAGCTCATTAGTTTATTATGCCAAAGAATGCGAGACTTTATAAATTGATCAGTTACTTTATTTACACAATGCTTTGTAATGTCGTTAAGTTAGTGCTTCATATAAACTATTTCAAAATTGTTATTCTCTTGCATTTTTGTTATGCCTGCGTGCGCTTTCTAATCCTGAACAGGGCGTCATTTAGATCTTTTTCTTTCCCTGATATGTTGTGATCAGCAGGGGGGCAGAAGTAGAAATATCTGTGTAACTTCACAGAGCTTCCACCTACTCACGAACCTTAAGGGAAAATCTTGTTCGAATCAGAACTAACAGATGAAATTATTAATTAAAAGTGATTTTCAGCAGATACAGGAGTGAACAATTTGAATTTGTAAAATCTATTTTTTGCAGTTTCGAGGTCATGAATTTTCAATATGGCAATGTACGCTAAGCTTATCAGCGTAAAGATATGGATGCTTTCTTGGAGATCTCTATCAGAGAAACTGTCTCATATTAACGTTATATAGGAGGAAAACCAGGAGAATGCTTATGCAGCCAGCTTGTTCTCCAAAATTTGAACCGTGATATTTTATCGGTGTTTAGAAGCTTAATTATTCGGTCTCATTGGATTCGCGTTGATTTCGTGGGGGGGGGTCTAATTTAAAAAAATTAATTTGAGCCGAAAATTGAACTATATCAGTAGGAATTAATGAGTTTTTGACGCTTGAGATAGAGTAACCTGTTTTCAGAAATACTTAAAAGAGTGCTGGTGCTTTTAAATCATTTGCCTGATTATTGAATTGATTCCGATTATTTTTAATAAAAGTATGTAATGTTGGCTTTAGTACATTTTCTCTTTGCTTCTGTCCATTGCAGTTCGGATCGCTTTTGTAATACAAAATACTTCGTGAGCATTGGATTCGAAGGTATTGGTTTCGTATCTAATGCTCACTATTCTGTTTTCAAGCACTGCTGATTAGAACAGCGATATGATCATGAACTTAGCTTTCTCGATATTTCGGGGAATTTGCGATAGAACCTTATTTGCTTGTAATTTAAGCCTTTAACGAGATATTTAGAAATTGTATTGCTATCATAACCTTTCGAGGAATTAATACAATATCCAAAGAAGCAAGTTTCATTGTCTATGTAAATGATTTTCCTAAGTTCTGAATTATAAATTTTCTCAAACGAAGGGAAGCTAAATCTAAGCTCACAGATGAAGGACAATAAAATATAAGCTATATAGAAATGTTCATTGTAGCAGAACCGATAATGATTGAACTAAGTTCGTACATTTGCTGCCAAGCCCATGCGGAAGAATTTAAGGAAGTAATATTTAGAATGAAGGTAGAAAATTCCATTCTAATTCTAAACTGTGACATGTAGAATCAAATGGCAGATTTTACAGCATGGTTGCTCTCAAGGCAAAGAAACAATATGATTTTAATTTTTACAGTAAATTAAATCTTATCATTAAGCAGCTGAATGATGGAATGTTGGTTCTCAGATTAATTTTAGCTAATCACTATATTTATTAAACAGATATGAAAATATTTTCCACTCAAAACAGTTTTATATATAACTTTTAAACCAATTTATATACTTTGAAACTGAACAAAAATTTGTTAAATGGAAAATGATTTGTGCATAATTTTCAATCTAATTCACAAAAATATATTAAGATTGATTCCATAAAAAAGTCATATTTTTTTTCCAGAGAATCTATGGAAACCTTATTAAGAGAGCACGCTTTTCGATATTCTCCTTTCCGGTCGCTGATGACTGGAGAATTACCACCTGACCAGTACGCACTGTCAAGTAAGTCGGCCAGTCTCGATATGTTATTTTTTTTTTTAATACAAGTAACGATCTTGGACAAATTCTTTTGAAATGTTGCTCTGAAATCTCTCGTAAAGTATAATTATGTAATTCAAGTAGCTCGTGGATGTAAAATAATTAATAGTGTTGATTAATTATGTTTTATAATAGTTAGAGGAATTAAGATTTTAAGTGTTTTCTACCTGATCGCAAGAAAACTGTTAAATGCCAATCTAAATGTGAAAATGCTAGAAAAATTTTACGAAAAGACAAAATCGGAAACAATGCGTATAGTATTCGGGCAACATTCTTGGTGAAGAAATGGCTAAATGATCGATGGGTTCAGCCATAATTCTTGATGAATCTTTCCTGGCAATGACCAACCAACAAGAGTCTGGCCGTTGGGAGAGGCAAGCACAGAATCTTGGCCCTACCCATCTTCACTTGCCAATAGGAGGTCGTTTACATAAATAATATGTTCACACAGAAATTGTGTTTAGATTCTTAAGTGGTGCTTTGGAGAGAAAGCCATTTTTTCCCAAAATTTTTGCACTCCATTTAAACTGCATATGACATTACACAATAGAATTACAGTACATTTTCATTGTTTTATGATATCTTGATGGCTAGTCTAAAGTCATGTACGCTCATATATGTTTCTATCATTCTCATATATGCTTAAATACTCATATATGCTACTCGAAAGTTATATTAATTATACAGAGTTTGATCTAAACCGCCGTTTCACAAATCAAGTAGGCCTTAGAATATATTACCCTCAAAGAAATTCTGTGAACAGTTGTCGGTATTGCTCATCAGTCGGTGACCTACATTTATATTTTTAACTACGGTGAATTCTTTCTAAAATGGTCACCTATGGAGACGGTTTTGGTCTTCTGTGGGTATGGTGGCATTAGAGAGCCATTCAATAACAATGCTTATCTAAGTTCTCAAAAATACGGATCACTTTCAAAGGTGAGTGCTGAAAGGTACATTAAAGCGTAATGAAGAGTGCTTTAATCCAGTTTTCTTCAAAGATAATTTCACCTATTTACAATATATATTAACATCTTCTATATGTAGATTTTATCGAAATTTATTTAATTATATTACACTGATGTTCTACGTGCAAATGATTGAAAAGTTAATAATTGTTACTGAATTTCTAATTATTCGAACTTGTATTTTTCCAACAGGTCTCGGAGGAATGCCATCTAGTGCCGATCTTCTCTTTATGGCCAGTCAGCCGGGTTCACCTTGGAAATTCCCCTCTATGCCATTGAGCATGGCCGACCTTAGTACACTGATGGCAGCTCAGCACCAGACACAGCAAAACCAGGCTAGTTTACAAAGCCTGTATTTTGGACTTCAACGTTCCACTTTCCCACCATTCTCCTTGATGGGATCCGGCAATCCTGGTCTTATACCAGGGTCATCTCCACATCTTCAATCTCCAGCATCAACGTCTGTGAGAACCTCTGCAACAGGATCGAGTTTGTCACCAATAAGTTCGTCTCCTACGATAACATCGGCTACAGCTGCAACTGGAAGTCATACAGGAATGTACTCTTCTGTTCCAATCACAGCCACTAGATTACCTGCATTATATCCTGGGCTAAAATATCATCCTTATTTTCATCCGAGGCTTGTGCAAACTGTACCTAGCAAAGATGCAGATTGTGACGGGCTTGCCCCTCAAGTATAATACGTCATTGAAGACTCTGTCAATAATTGCTTCAATGCTCAATCATATCAGCCATAACAAAAATTAGCCAAAGTAAAAATGTTGAATGATGCTATCATATTTTCAATTAATGATACTGAAAATGGATAGTTCCTGTAAACTTGAAATTATGATTTAATTTATAGAATCCCAAAGACTGTTAACAGTCTAGAGCCCAAACGCATAAGATATGCTTGGTAGTAATAAGTATTTTAAGATTTAGATTTCATCAATTTTAGCACAACTTTTGATGAAAAGAACAAACTCGCAACTCGGTTTTCATCTTTAGCTCTTGTCAGCTTTGAATTCCAATACTTTACAGTATTTTTCTGGGAAATTTAAAGGCATGGAAACCTTTTAAACAGAAAAGAAAATAATTCCTATTGTGGTGATAAAATTTTGATGAACATTATGCTATCCATGACTGTGCCACGTCATGAGTGGAGAGATAATTCAGAACACTCAAAAGTGCATCACATATTATACTATATTGAAATGTTCTTGGTTTTCTGCATCAGTGTTGTACAAACATATTTTAAATTACTTTTATTCGTCCCAACTGAAAGTTAACTTTAGGTGGCTTGTACGCGGATATTTCTTTCTTTGTTGCGTGCATTGCATTTAAAACTTTATATTTTAAAATATTTCAATGTTATGTTACATTGGATAACGTATTAATTTCATTCCATATATGAAACTATTAACAAAATTTTATGAGAAGAAAAGAAATTGATATTACAAGATACATTTCCTCTGTCATTAAAATTTGAAATACCTGAATTGCATTTGCAGTTTAAATACAAATTCTTAAAAAAAAAAAAAAAAATGTAAAAAAAAAAATTGAGAAGGGAATCGACGAAAAATTTAGAGTCCAGAAGTAATGTGTAAGTTTTTAGCGATGGTTCTTCAAGAATGTGTATTTTTGGCCAGTAAACTTACCATAAACTATCCATTTCCTAAAATGTTGTCTAATATTTTCCTCCTTCTTTTTTTCTTAGCTTTAAAGAATTTAGAAAGCGTAAAACCTATGCAAAAAGACGATGGGAAGTTTTGTGTAAATATGCGTTACATTTATTTGAAAACGGCAATTTTGGCAGGATCACCCAATAAAAATGGAGAAAATCGATTCAAAATTATTATTTTAATGCTTTAAGGTATAGTAATTTCTAATTAAAGAGCAGTATAATGTGTTATTTCAGCCAAAATATTATACTATGCATTCGTTCTCTATGCACTTAAAACGCGTAATATTTCTTATACCTTCTTCAGACTGCATTGTCAAACGAAACACAGTTTTGCTAAAAATAATTCTCTATAAAGTGTTTAAAAGAATTATCAGTGTTAACTATGTTGAGAAAACCAGCAAAGAAATATAACTATCCATTAAAAAAATTATTGTAAATGTAATGGATTGAAAGCTTACTAGCGCTGATTCTGTTTGAGTTTCTATTAAACTTTTCAAGTTACTGTTCCCTTCAGAAAAGGTATAATTTTAGTTTAAAATATTTTACTATGCTCTGAGTTCACTAAAGTCAGCAATTCTAGAAATCAATAAATAAATAATGATGTTCATATTTCGATTCTTGGCGTTATAGTAAAGTTACGGTGAACTCATATTTTTTGTTTATTTTCTGAAATTTACTTCTTTCTTAAAATTCCATATTAATGCTTAATAAAATCTAAAAATAAAAGGTATATTTTTATATCAAAATTACTTACAAAATGATATTCAAAAATGATTCCTAGACTGCATATTAAACTTATACCAAATTTTATGGGAGAGATAAATAATTCTATCCCTGTTGGCATGGCCAATGTTAGCATGGCCAATGTTGCCTTTCGAATTCTGATAGAATATGATAATTTAATCCATTCCGTACTGACTGTATCTGTGCAGTTTAAAATAAATTATTCGCATAAATTTAGTCTTATCAAACTTCTTTCCCAAGTCGAGGGCTTTTAAATTTTCAATAATCTATTTTTATAAATATTTATCATATTTTCAGGCCGCTAGCTACTTTTCAATGCATGTAATTCTTAAGATAAAAGTCTGCATCTTTGCTTTTGTAAAAATCAAAATTTATAAATATTAACTTCATAAACTGGATATGAAAATGAAACAAAGAGTAAATAACATAATCATACGACAGTGATTTGACATTCGATGTTTTTACAAAAAATAAATAAACCCTTTAGTTTAAAGAACTAAAGTTCCTGCGCTTCAGTGAGTAAACATACTGCAAAAGAAAACACGATATGCTTAAATCTGTGAACACTTTCTGATTAGCCGCAGCCCCGTTTCAAAAACTTGGTAAAACTGATAGGTTATTGGTATATTTCCGATATATTGGTAATAGCCGACTTACATACACGAGTATGACATATGTGTTTGAGAACACATGAATTTATGCGATTTATATTTAACAGTCATTTCACGAACCGTTGTTCTCCGCCCCCCGCACACATAAAACTTTGTTTTCGCTTCATAACAAATCATACTTGAATTATACGTAGATTTTGTAGTTTGATGAGCAAAAAATCGCAAACTTTCTACAGAAATATAACGCTTTGTCAAACAACGTCTACAAATTCGCCAATGAGTTGGCGACATTTTATGGCGGAGAGGATAAACATGAAGTAGAAAGCTATACAATCGTAAAAAATTTGCTGTATGGCACGTGCATAGAAGATGATGTCAAAGGATTCAGTTTTAGGTTAACAACTAAAACACATTTCGTATAAAAATACAAATGAAGAATTTTAATGTGACTGTAATTTTAATTTGTTTAGCTTGCATTTTAGTCAGAGCTGTTTATTGTATGTACATTCTGTTGCGTAATGTTTTCGAACACGACGCACAGTTTTTGAAATACTGATTAAACTATTTTAACATATCTTTCACTACTCTTCATCTTTATGAAATGCACTTTATATTTTAAATAAATATCTCAAATTAAACATGAATTTACATGAATTTTCTGTGCAACTAAATTTACAGTCGACTCTATCTTGAGTGCAACAAAGACCATTAATAATTTAAATTTCTGCATTGTGAAAAAACCTAAGTGCTGTCTAGAGTCATTAAACAAGCCTAGAGTTGTGATTTGTTGCTTCCGTGACTTGTATCTAGAAATTAATTTAATTATACGATCGAATGCACTGATACTGCATACTCGTTAATTGTTATTTATTTGATAGAGAATCTGTAAATTTAGCTGAGATTACAACTGACAGAAGTTTAGCAATGATGACTGTAAATTGACTAGATGTTTGGGCAAATTGTCCGAATGTCTTTAGGTAAAAATTGTTGTTATTCTGGACGTGTTGGGTATAATTTTTAACGTGCCAGCAATATTTTATGTTATAGCTAAATAATAAAGTGTTTTTTGAACTTCTTGTGTTGTCTTCATCTGCAGTTTTTTTCCCACATTCTTAAAATTTTAAAATAAATGAGAACATACAATGACGATTATATTGTTATAAAACCTTTATCTAAGAATAAATATATAGATTCAGTAAATTTCATTAAATACAGCATTTAGTTGTTATGATGTAATATAAATAAAGATGAATTCGGGATGTCATAGTAATGCCACAGATGTTAAAATAATGCAACTTATTCGCTACTTAGCATATTGGAATATATGTTGCCTTTTTGAACATTTAGAATATGCAAACGCATATTGCCCGTAATCTTTCTGCAAACTGGGGGGGGGGGATTTCATACCTAAATTTTACCACAATGCAAATATTTTTAAACTTTTTGCAGACATGGCTCCATTGACTTCTACTTACATTTGGTATACACTGTTGTTCCCAAGCATTCGAAGTCTGATAAACATGTTTTCACAGAAGTACCCTGCTTAATTAATTGTCCGTACATCTATATCTATTTCCTTCTTTAGATTATTGAGCGATCGCCATTAGCTGGACTACCACAGAAGTAGGAAAATGTGATAGGTGAGCACAGTCCTACCCCCTTTTTCTTCCTAAATTGGACTTGACCTTATTAAAAGTCTGGATCAATTACCCACAAATATCACGTCAAGGAATTTATCAAACCTCTAAATGTAATAGGTGAGCAGAGTATGTTCATTAAAGCAGCATGGCAGTTCGTTGCTTGCTCAATGAATTTGGAAAGGAAGAGTTATTTACACAAGATCTTGTTAACTGGCACAGAGAGGTTTATACATGTGATTAGCGTAAAATTGGAGCATCCGAAATCAACTATGGCAGATTTTATAAACAGGTGGATATATTATTTTGGTATTTTTGGTTAGAAAATCGAAATTGTAAGACAGAGAAAGAAACGTGCGATCCCTTTCCCTTCCCCCAAAAAGGACTGAAAACATCCGGCAAGTTTTTCAGTGCGGCGTCGGTACTTTTGCCTGCATCAATATTATTTTAAAAAACTATATACCCTCGAGCATCAATGCAATAAAAACGGCAGTAAAAATAGCGGTGTAAAAAAAAACCCTTACAAACTCTATAAAAAGAATTTTTTTCCAATGGCGAGCTCTAGCCATTAATAGGCTTTGGCCACTACTAAGGTCGAAAGCCGTGGTCTCTTTATTATGGAAGCACCCAATAGATGGGCAACCATTGCTTCATATGAAGTACGAACAAATCATAGCCGTACCTTTTCCGAAATTCGAACCCGTGCGCTTCAGTACGGCAGTCAGCGCCACTAACCACTTTCCCGTTTTAGCAGCACTCTATACCAGGATCCGATCAGCTTTCTGCAAACAGCATAGAAACTGGATGTTTGAAAAGTGGAAAGCAATTTAATGGATTGCCAAATTGAGACTTACGTAGTTCCAATTCAGTGTTAAAATATAGGTTAGGAAATAGCCTGGAGAATGCCTACAACCCTAATACGTAATTCCAACTCTGAAACCCAGCATTGTGGAATTAAAGTCTAAGCCATTTTCATCTGACACAATCTTGGATAACTGGTTAGTTCTCATTGATAAAAGGTAAAAAATTAAGTTTTGACATTTTATACAATCGCATTCTAACTACCATGTAACAATACTAAGGAACTTATGATTGTCTTTACTAAGATAGCAATGCAGGATGTCGCAGAAGTATAGCTGTTACGAGGATTTGGATATGAAGCGATTGTTGTGGTCCCCTTAGAATATAGAACTCAATATAACAGAGCAGCTGTGGGACGAACTGGAACAACGACTGAGGTCCATATCAGCATATCGCACAATTACAGTACATCATAGTTCAGTTGCTGAATTCGAATCAGCTTTCCAGGAGGAATGGAGAAAACTTGCACATAGCGTAATTAAAAAAAATAATTCGGAAGTCTTTCTATTAAGAGTATATATTTGTATAATTTAGTCCAAAAAGTAGGCCTTAATGGAATAATTAAAATTTCTTCGCATATTTTTATCCAAATATCTAGACAGTTATTAGTCTAGAATGTACAGCGGTTGCCCAAAGAAACTGAAGCACCTAAAAAATAAAGAATTGTAATATGGCGTATGAGCCCATCTGGCAACTGAATCGGCTTGAATTTTTCTTGGAATGGAATCACAGAAATTTAAATTCTTCAAGGAAATATAAAGCACCTCTGATTAAACACCAAAAGCTGTTCTTATTCTGCACTTGGAGACCTTAATTTGAGACTTCGAATTTGCTCCATTTGTGCTGCTAAGCCTTTTTCTGTATGAGCGATGCGACTGATTTATCGTAGTGAAAATTGTAATATGATAAATGGGAAAGAACTCGAATTTCTGGATCTCATTCAACTTGAAGTTATAAGCTTTCAAAGATTTACGTAATGAAAGAAAGCAATTGCGTAAACTTTTGAATTTCTAAATTCTATGCTTTTTGTTTCATAAAAGTAATTTTCCTTTGAAAGTCAAAAATTTTGTTTGATGGCTGTGGAAATGAATCTTGCTAACTGGCGCAGAGACGTTTAATGAACTAAATATTTAAGAAGCTTGCGAAGCCCCATGCTGAAGCAGAGTTAAAAACCAATGCTAAAGTGGCTATCTAATTTTTAAGAATTTCAAAATCAAAATAAAACCTGGCCTCTCGCAACCAAACTAAATTTCACTGTCTTTAATTATTATCTTGACCTCTTTTTCGGAATGATATCAAAATAGCTTTAAATTTCCATTGTTTTATAGTTCTTTCTCTTTTCAATATTTACCGTTTTGAGAAAACATTTTCCAAACTGTAAATTATGTAACTATCACGTCTATGTATATTCTGTTTTAACAAATGATCAACTTAACTCGCTGTTCTCTATGCTAGATTGATTATACTAGAGAATATTGATTTAAACTGGACAAAAATAAGAAAATGATTGCCCGTTGATCTGTCACCTTTAGGAAGGTTTAAACTGTTCAATTGGCTTCCGATCCATATAAATATGTATTTATCCATATGGAATTTAATGCCAACTCAGCAGATGCATTTAGTTGATATATGTACACTACATACACTATGTTAAATGGGCACGGTTACAGGGCCCTTGAAGTATATATACACAGATTGCCTGCCTTGCAATTTGAACTAGATAAAATATATTACATGGGTACGGTTACAAGGCCCTTGAAGAAGTATTCACAGAATACATTCTTTACAGAGATTATTTTCACTATTTGCCTTGCAACAGCGTTGTACTTACATTTCGAAACCAAGACTTTCTCTAGGTGGCTACTTTAGAGCGTGCCTTTGCAGATACTGTGCCACAGAACTGACATTTGAGGGATTATTTACTACTACTGGCATTATTTCAACTGTTTTCTGTTCTCTGTCACGTACATTATTGCACAACTGTCTATCACTGCTTTGATTTTTCGCTGTGTTGCCCTGTTCGTCTTAATATTCTGAAACCATTGCGGCCAGAAGCTGTCACTTGACGTTTTCAGCTGGTAGTCTGACCTGAGATGACAGGAGAAAAGGAGACGATCAGAATCGCCTTCCTCACCACATTCGCAGTCGCCACTGTCACGAAAGCCAAAGCGAAATTTGTATGTGAGGAATGGGCCATGTCTCGTTAAAAATTGCGTCAGGTAATAATTTTGAGCCTGCATTTTTATTGACACTTTTGAGATAAAACCGTAGACCAGACCACCCGTGGCGCCCTGATTTGCCGTGAGATGAATTGCTCCCGTGTCCTTTTTTTAATACCTGAGATTGGCAATAAAGTGGCGTCTTCCCTGATTTCTGTGGAATTTGCCGCCTCTTTTGCTGTTGCATCGGCCTTCTCATTTCCATTTTTTCCAGTATGCGCTGGCACCCAGCTGAGCCTTGACTTATTTTCTTCTGGAATTTGAAGTAGTTGCTATCTAATTCTTTGTACAATTGGGCTGCGAGAGTTGTCTTCCGCTATTGCGGCCAAGCTGGACCCCGGATCCGTCTAGATCCGTCTAGTGACTCCAGCGTTTCCGGCACAGTATTTGATTGCAACGCTGACGGCTTAATTTCAGCTTGATTCAGGAAGGTTTATTCCAGAATGAGAATCATAAAATTTGTGTTTTATCCAGTACAGGTGATGAACAGTGTCTTTTAGGGTCAACACAGTTGCCACGGTTACAGTAGCGGAAGAAATGTTAAGTGAGTTTGAGGAAAGTTAAGGATTTTTGAATTTTAATGAAATTCAGTTTGAGCCTCCTATAAATAATAAAATCTTCTTCACTCATATACATGTTGTTTGGCTACTAGGAGTAGTCTAAATGAGGTAGAAAGGCTTAAATTTGAAAGCAAACAACTGCATTTTATTTGAATACTTAAGCAATAGTATATGTTTTAGTATAGCACATGCAGAAGACTAGGTTTGAGACTCTGAATTAAAAGTTTGAGCCAACAGGTAGACAGTCACACATGGAGACATTCTAACTCTGCTTTCGAAATTGTATAACGGAATCTTCTAATCAAGTTATCTTGTTTTATGTAACACATGGAATATAAAAATAAGAAATTAAAAATAAGAAATTAAAAAATAAGAAATTTGAAAATAAGATAGTAGTTTTTTCCGCTTTCAAATACAGCAGAACCTAGATTTAATGACTTCTCGAATGTATGAATATTTCCATCTTCAAAATAGATATTTAAAAAAAATCAGCTCATTTAATATTTTACACTAATTTCATAAACTTTGAAATTTTTCCAACTATTTTTAAATTCGTTAAAACACATTTCCCTTGAAAGTATTATTCTATTTAATGGTCAAGTATAAAGGACTAATCAGCTCTGTTCGTACAGTAGTCGACATTATTTTCTTCTCAAACACCAAGGAAGACGAATATCCCCAATACTACCACCGCTACTATGCTATGCAAGTGAACGGTAGCTTCCAATTACAGGAATAAGTTGACCATTGAAAATAAATAAATAAATAAAAACTATTAATCGCTCAAATATCGAATGA